TAAAGAATACCGTCTCCTTAGGCTACCGGAAGAGGGTCCTTTATAGTAGACCTATTCCTCTTAGTAGGGAAAGCTAACTTCTTAAGAGGTTCCTTCTTAAAAATAGGTTAGAATTTAAAAATAAATTAACTGAATTTTTCCTCGATAAGCTTAATCGTTTAATTCTTTTAGACTAGCCTTATAGGCTTAGACTTCGTGTCTTAAAAGATTCCTTCCTCTTAAAGAAGGTAAAAGGAAATTAGGCTTATTAAAAATCAAGGGCAAAAAGCTACCCTTTTTTATCGAAGAATTTATATAGTCCTATTAGGTAATTTTATCGTAAAAATCACCCTTCTATACCCCTCTATCTATACGGTTAATTCCCTAGTAATAAGGTATTCCCTCCTTACCTTCTTAAAGGACTAGAATTATAAGAGTATATTATAGATATTAAGGGAAGTACTAAAGTTAAGGATAGCTAATTTTCGTAAGGGATAATCGGAGGGCTCTAATAGTTAGTCTTAGCCTTATTAATCTATAAGGAAGATAAAGGCTGGATTTACTATACTAATAATTTTTCCTTAAATTTACGGCTCGAATAAAGGCAGCGGCGTTATTAGTTACTATTTCTTAGTAACCTAAATCTCGTCTATCTTCTTTTATAATAAGGGGTCCTCCTTAAGAGACTATTATACTATTTCTTATAGCCTCTTTAAAGGGTTAACTCCTTTAGGTCGGTTTTCCTTAAAGACCTACTAGTATTATAATAACCGATAGCCTAGGGATTTATAGGCTAGGCAGCTATTTCGTCTTTTAGTTTTCTATTTCTTCGAGGAATCCTCGTCCCGATTTAGAAGGTCTGCTTAAAAACCCCCCCTCTTTATACCTTACTACTAATTTTAATAAAGAGGTTCGATTTTAACTAGTTCCTTAATTTTTCGACTAACGGACTAAAAGGTCTATTAAGGGACTAGTTAGGCCGGTCTAACTAACGGGACCGGGGCCGGGCCTAGAGTAAGATACGTAGCTAGGGCCAGGGCAGCAGCTATAGTTAACGACGGCGTTAAGGCTCTCGAGGGAGGTAGAGCCGGAGGGGCAATAGCTATAGTAGTAGCGGGAGCTATAGTAATAGGGGCTGCAGCAGCTATAGGGGTAGTAGGTCGAGCTATCTAGGTCGAGTGCTAGCTACGAAGGAATAAGACTACTTACTATTATACTCTAGTAGCCTCTTTATCTAGTTCCTAGCTAGCTTCTTAAAAGATAGTTAAGTAACCGTTACTAATAGGCTTTATTAGTAGAGATATATCCTATAACTACTAGCTAGAAAGAGCTTTTATTAGGAAGTATTAATTAGCTTCCTTAAGGATTTCTTCCTACTTAGCTAGCTATAAAGAAGCTAGTAAGTTCCTAGTAGAAAAGGCTCCTAGGTATACTATATAGGTCTTCTTAATACGGTTAGTTATATAGCCCCTTAAGGGAGCTATCGAGGTCTTAAGCTTTAAAAGCTACTACTTAAGAGTCTCTTCTTCTTAAAGAGAGATTAGCTTTATAGCACTAACGGATTCTATTATTACCGTATAAGTAGTAGTTAGTAGCTTTATTTTATAGAGGTATTCCTTTTAGTAACTCTCGTAGTTACCTAAGGTAGTAAAAAAATGCTCTCTACTATATAGAGGTTAGCTTAGAGAAGAGGGAAGCTCCTTTTATAAATTCTATTACCCTAAGATAAAAAGGGGGCTTAAGAGGGTCCTACTTATTAAAGAAGACTAAATTATAGATAGTTCTATTTATACGAGCCTATAGCTCCTTTACCTACTTATCTTAATCTTAGGGCTTTATAAGAATCGTCTTATAGACTATAGGGACGGTAAAGAAATTTTTTATTTAATATTATTATAGGAGAGGGGGTAGAAAAGTTAGTTAAAAATCGGCTTTTTTAGTAAGAGGGGTAAAAGGAAGCTATAAGGGATATAAGAAAGGTGCTTTTTATAGTAGCTAAAAGGTATAGGAATACTATTCCTCCTAGGCTTATAACTCTTATAAAGAGAGATATAAAACGTATATATAAAATATATAAAGGTAAAATTAAAAGTAAGGGGTCGGATAGGTAAGGTAGAGATATTTAATTCTTATAGGGGTAGTAATTATAGTAGGGGAGTAATTATTATATTACCTTAATTATCCTTCTTTCCTTTATCTAACGCCCCTTTTTATACCTATCTAGTATCTTAATTAATAAAGAAGATCCTACTTAAAGAAGCTATTAATATCCTCTTAACTACTAAGCTTTTTACTAGGGTTTTCCCTCCTTTCTAGCTATTACTAGTATATCCGTCTTATCTTTCGCTACCTCTATAAGAAGCTATTACTACTTTTACTTCCCTTTTTACCCCTACCCTCCTCTTTATACCTCCTTTTAGCTCCTTCCTTAAAACCTATTTTTTAGCTTCTTAGGTCCCTTATACTAAGGGATATCTCTAAGAACTACGAAATTAAGCTACGCTTCGCGATAACTTTAGGTTTATTAACTCGCTTTATCGGGGTATATAAATTTAGGTAGCGTCTCTTTACGCTATATACTTTAGTCGAGCTTAGTATATTAAGGGCCGCTACTATATCTATATACCCCTTAGCCTTAGTATAGTATTATTACTAAGGGTAATTAATACTACTAAATTAATTCCTAGTATTAATTAGTATTTTAGTCGCGGTACGTACCTATTATAAGCGTATATTAGTTTTATAAGAAGTTTTTTATTTTTATATATTTATATTCTTTAATTTATATAAAAAACTTTAATTTCCCCTTCTCTTATACTAGTTTTAGTATAGTAAAAGGCTAATCTTATATACTTAAACCTTTTATAAAATTCCGGATTTTCTATTAATTTAATAGTAGTAGTATTATCTATTAAAATAAAAGGTATAGTATTAAGAATATTAATAGATAGATCCTTAGTAATATACTTAAAAATTATATTTAAATAAATAGCTTCTTTATTTACCTCCTTAAGGCTAATATACTTTGCTTTATAAGTAGAAAGGGTAATAGCTTTTTACTTAAAGTAAGCTTAGCTTATTATATTATTATATATATAAAGATAGTAACCGAAAAAGGATTTTCTATCTATTAAATCTAACGCTTAGCTAGAGTTAGTAAAACCCTTTATATATAGATAGGTAAAAGGGATATTATAATTATGTATAATCTTTAGGCTAGGGAATTTATTTAAATGTTTCTAAATTATATTTAAAGCCTTAAAATATATATAATCGGGCTTTACCGCGAATCTAGTATAGGAAATTATAGAATATAAGATATATAGCTTAGTAAATAGGGCTAAGTATAATAGAGATCCTATTTCTTTTTAAAATTAATCTAGGAATTTAAATAATTCTTTAAATAATCTTTCTTTTATTATAGATTTAGAGGGCCTAACTATAAGAAAGTCGTCGATATAAATTACTAAGGCTATACTATAGTCCTTATTTATAAATACTCCTTTATTTATTAAAAGAGGAAGATATCTAAGTTTATTAAGTATAATTTTTAAATAATTATACTAGAGCTTAGGACTTTATTTTAGGCTATATAATACTTTCTCTAGCTTTGCTTTAATTTAACCGGTTTTATATAGGTCTAGGAATTTAGTTAATTTAATTCCTTTAGCTCTATAAGTAATCTATATTTTAAATAATATTCTTTAAGAGCGTATTCTTCGTAGCCTATAAGAAGATTAATATATACTTCGCTATCCTTATTAGTATATACGAAGGCATTTATTATATCTATTTATAAAGCTTCGAATTTATAGATAATAGCTAAAATAATAGAATTCTAATAGATTTAGGCCTAGCTATAGTTAAGAAGGTATCTAGGAAATCTAAGCTATAGATCTACTTAAATCCTTATATTATAAAACGGGCTTTATATTTTATTATATTATTTTAACTATCCCTTTTAATAGTATAAACCTAGCGGCCTTTTATAGCCTCCTTATCCTTAAGGAGGTAGGAAAATTCCTAAGCTTTATACTTAATTAGCTAGATTATTTCCTTAGTTATAGCTTCTTTCTAAAATACTACTTTAGGGCTATTTATTACCTATTTATAGGTCTTTAGAATTTTTAGATCCTAATTTTCTATACTAGCTAGAATTAACTCTTTAAAATTATAGTTTAAAAACAAATTAACGTTAAGGTATTTAATATAGTTAGAATTAAACCCTTCTAGCTTCTTAGGTAATTCTACTACTATTTTACTAGTAGTAGGAATAGGATTATTATTTAAAGACTCTTTTTCTATAAAGGGTAAGGGACTTTTATCTCTAGGTTCTTTAATAGCTTCCTTTATAGGGATATAGCTTTCTAGCTTATTTTTATTTAAAGTAAAATTAAAATCAAAGGTGTTATTACTACTAGAAATTTCTAGAATTTTTATAAATTTATTTTCTAGTATAGTAATATCTTTAGAGATAGTATTCCTTCTCTTAAAAAATTCCTAGATTTTATACGCATTTTCTAAATACCCTACTATTAATCCCTTAAAAGCTCTATTATCTAGCTTATCTATAAGGTCTTTATTCTTATAATATATAAGGCTTCTAAAGGTCTTAATTTTATATAAGGTCTATAAGGAACGGTGTTCCTACTATAAATAAAGCAGCTATAATATACTCTCCCGATTATATAAGCTAATAAGTAGTATATTAATTATAGATAAAATCCTATATTATAGAGTAAGAATCGCTCGTTATTTTATATGTTATTAGGTATTAAACGGGTTGCCGGTTATAGTATAATCGGGAATCGAAGAAATAGATCTAGCTTAGAATACTAGCTAAGACCTCTTAAGAATACTAGCACGACCAACCTCCTTTAAATATAAATATTAGTAGAACTAAGACACTTCCTAATATACTCGAGGTATTACTAAATTCCTTAGTCTTAAGGCTATATAGCAGCCTAAATCTAGTCCTAAAAGGTTCTTCCGTTTAACTATAATTATCTATATAAGATAGTATGTCTGCTAGTAGATAGAGAGAGAATTATTAACTTTAATACTACTTCTATATACTAATATATTACTAATAAATTCTATTAAGAATCCTACCCTATACTCCTTCTTCCCCTCTATTATATAGTCTTATATAATTTCTTAATTTCCTAAAATTCCGCTTTTACTTATATACCTTAAGAAGGTCTTAAAAGGTAGTATTATATTATCCCTCTTTACTATAGGACTTTTAAATCCTATCGTAGAATCTAGTAATCTATTATATAAATAGGTAGATATTAAAATAGCTTCTCCTTATAGGTATTTAAGAAGCTTAGTAGTAAATAAAAGAGCTTATACCTTTTTTAATATAGCACGATTTATTCTTTTTATTCTACTATTAGATTTAAGCGTCCTAGGAGGACTAGAATTAAAGGTAATTCCTTCTTTTTTATAGTAGAGCTTTACTTTATATATAAATTCTTTAGTATTATTAGAAAATAATTCTCTAATATTAGTATTTTTAGGGTTATTTTCTACCTTATTTTTAAATTCTTAGAACCTATCTAGAGCTTTTTCTTTTCTTCGAAAAAGGTATATTTCTAGATATTAGGTTCCTATATCTAAGAAAGAAATATAATAGTAATATTTATAATAAGTAAGTACTTTAATTAGCCCCTAAATATCTAATACTATTTTTTCTAAATAGGAATAAGTCTTATATAAAGGTTATTTATTAACCTTATTTATTACTTTAGCTTTAATATATATTTTATACTACCTTATTTTATTTTCCTCTTTTAGAGGTATTTTTATATCCTTATTATATCTTTTTAATATTTCTAAAATAGCCCTACTATTTATATATCCTAAGCGTAAGTACCGGTATTCTTAAGAGGTCTTAGCTACTATTCTAAGCTAGCTATATTCCTTTAATTCCTAATTATATAATAACTAGTAACCCGTTTAATATATAATAATATATATAATAATAAGCGATTCTTACTTAATAAGATAGGACTTTTATCTATAATTAATATACTACTTATTAGCTTATATAATTAAGAGAGTATATTATAACTACTTTCTTTATAATAGGAAAATACTATTCCTTATATAACTATATATTACGCCCGCCGCTACTAAATACGCGTTTATATATATAGCCTACCTTACCTTATAACGCTATTAGTTAAGGTCTAGGCTAATACCTAGACTTATACTAAGGGTAAATACCCTTATATAAAGTCCTTACCCTTCTTTTTATAGGCGGTCCCTTATAACGTTAATATTATACCTTAGCGCGTAGCTAAGAGGTAAATAACCTACTAGCGCGCCCTTATTACTCTTTCCTCTTAACTATACTATTATTATTAATATTACTAGTAGTAGCTATAACTATAACTATAAGTCTCCTAGCGCCTAGCTATACGCTACCGCTTATATATAAGCTAACCTATCCCTTTATTAGTTATTTAAATAATTTAATATATCCTCCTTTACCTTATCTTACTTCTCCGCTAAGATTAATAACTTTATCGATTATACCCTTACCTCGCCCGCTACCCTACCTATTACCCCCGCCGCCTTAGTCGCGCCTACTACTACTTCGCGCTACCCGCTACCTAGCTTCTTAGCTATTAACTTTACTACCCGCGCCGCCGCCGCCCCCGCTACGCTCTCTACTACCGGCCGCTATAATAATAATAATAATAACGATAATAATAATAAGCGCGGGTCCTCGCCGCCCTCCTCTATAAGACCCTCTACCCTTATTCTTATAAGTATTACTAACTCCTTATATTAATATAAGCGCGCTATAGGTTAAGGCGCTACCTATAATTCCCCTTATATATAGTATACCTTATAGTCCCTCCCTTATACTAACTAAGCCGGCCGCCCTTAAGGTAGCTGCTTCCTATACGCCTAGGATAGCTATGCTTATAAGGTTACGCCGCCTATCTTTACTTATACTACCGCGGCTTAGAGCGCCGCGGAGCTAGGTTAGGACTAAAATAAGGCTAAGCGCGCTTTAACTACTACCGCCGCCTCTTACCGTAACTTATAGTTCCTTAAGCACGCCGCCTTTATACCTAAGTATAGAAGCTCTCTTTCCTATACTCTTTATAGCGCTAACTCTCTCTCTCTTAAGGGCACCGTCGCTACTACCGTAGCCGCCCCCGCTACCTCTACCGCCGCCGCTTCTACTACTACTAGCACCGCCGCCGCCGCCGCTACTATCTTTAACGCCGCTACTATTACTACTTAGCTAAGTAGCTTAAAAGGCTAGATCTACGCCCTTAAGGCTAGGGCCGCGCCTTATACTAAGGAGGAGGAGGATAAGGAGGAGGATAAGGAGGAGGATAAGGAGGAGGATAAGGAGGAGGATAAGGAGGAGGATAAGGAGGAGGATAAGGAGGAGGATAAGGAGGAGGATAAGGAGGAGGATAAGGAGGAGGATAAGGAGGAGGATAAGGAGGAGGATAAGGAGGAGGATAAGGAGGAGGATAAGGAGGAGGATAAGGAGGAGGATAAGGTTAACCGTTTAATAGTTAAGACCCTACTAAAGAAAAAGGCCTACTAGGCCTAGTCTATATACCTTTAAGCGCGCTTATAAGAGCTAATACGATTTATTTATACTACTACCGACCTAAGTATACCTTACTTATTATTTATAGTTACGGTATCTATAATATATATATATAGCTTACGCTAGTATAGCGACCGCCGCGGGCCTAGTACCCTATTACTTTCTTAAGGGTAAGGTATAGTCTTCCTTACGTTTTAAGGTATTAGCTACTTTACCGCTAAGGGGGTAGCTTTTCTCGTTAAGCTATCGTTCTTCTTTATTAGCTTATAAAGGGCCTTAAACTTATCTAAAGCTACCTTGCCCTTAAACTTAAAAGCTAGCTCTTATATTAGGTCTTAGTAGCCGCGCTACTTAATAAGGACTTCGCGCTTCTTACCGCGGCTTATATTCTTTTAATAGGCTACTTATAACTCTTTTACTAAGAACTCCTTCTTCCCTTTAACGAGGATAGTAGCTAGTTAAGGATCCGCTATCTCTTAGCTTAGTAAGGGGTCTATAATAGCGCGATAAAAAAGGTTAACGTTAATTATATTATAGATATTAAAGGGTATCCCTTTTAGCTCTATAGTTTATAAACTTAGTACCCTCTTTACTATATACTTAGTATATAGCTAGTTAAGCTTCTTTTTTAACTTTATTAACTTATAGTTATAAAGGTTTAGTTAGACCTTATCCCTTACTATAAACCTATTTATAGGATCCTATAACTTATTAGCCTACCGCTCTTAGTCTTAGGTAGTAGATACTATTAAAGATTAATAGAACTCTATAACTTATTATAGCTTTTATATAAAGGTAGACGCCCTACCCTTTAAGGAGCTAGCTAGGTAGCGCTCTATACCTATATCTATAGTAATAGGCTATATTAATAGCGGTTTAAACCTATATAGCGTAAGGAAAAGGGATATATTAATAAAGGAGTTCGACCTACTATTAAGCGCTATCTAAGCTATAGGAAGCTACTTATCTTAGTTTATTTAGCTATAAGCTATTTATAACGACCGGTATTATTCCTAAGGGATAAACCTATTAAGGGGTTTATATTAATAGATATAATAGGGCGTGGTCTAAGTAATAATAAGTATATTACGTTAGTAATAAGTCGGAGGTTATAGACCGTAGACTATAACTAGGTAATTAAAATTAAAGATAGAATCGTAATAAAGATCTATATTAAAAGCTATCGAGCTATCTATCTAAAGGAGTAAAAGTAGGTAGCTATATATACCTATAAAGACTATCCTTAGATCACGGTCCTAGCCGTAATCCCCTTTATAGCTTACTATAGCTTACTTATAAGCTATGCTCCTAAGTAGTAATCTATCTATATAAGGCTTACTTAGCTTACGTATGCTCTAGGTAAGCTAAGCCTAAGTAACTTCTCGTCCCGACTATTATTCCGAGCCGCCTTATTATATAAACGTAGCTAGCTCTCCTATGGCCCGCTAACTATAGTCGTAATACGATGTCTCCCCTCCTTTTAGTCTTATCCGTAAGACCTACTACTACCTTAGCCGCCGTATATAAATATACCCTTATCGCGCGTATATATATTCCCCGTTTATTCTTTCTATCCCTTAGGATATACTACTAATAGTATGTCTAGTCGCGTGTTAAAGGATCGTTCTCGTAAGACCCTTAAGCGTATTCGTTTAGCTAAGTCTATTAATTATCTTAGTTTCGACGTTATACTATATTCTTTCTATTTATCGCGCGGCTTCTACTATAAAATGCTAGAGAAATCTTCTAAGTATACCGAATATATACGGCGGGGTCGTTCCTACGATACGTTAGGCGTAGCGATTAGCTCCTATAGGTAACTTCGTTATCCTACTTATTATTTATAGCTAACGTATATCTTAGTATCCTAAATAAATCTAGAGTCTAATTAATTAGATAAAGAAGAAGAAATTACTAAGGAGCGAATATTAAAAGCTTAAGCTAACTTAAACGAAGCCTTAGCTTATTTAGCGCGGCTTCGCCGTTAAAAGCGCTAGCTAAAGATAAAGGGTACTAAGATAGTCTATCGGGGCCTTCGTTCCTTAGATAACCTTAATAAGGCTAAGCGCTAAGAATCTAAAGCGGTGGTCGATATTTAGTCTATAGGTAGATTTAATATAATTAATTAGAATGCTATTAGTTCGTTAAGCGATTTTACGATACCTAAGGTAGATTTTACTAGTAGAACTATCGAAGTAGAGAACCATAGTAGGTTAAGTGCTTAAGTAGTTCCTAGGTATTTTCTTCTAGTCTATATCCCTTCTACTTAATAAGGTATTCTTATTGCTAACCTTATTTTCTTATATCTAGTATTTATTTAGCTTTATATTCTTAATTATCGTCGACTTTAATTTTTTCCTATAGTTTAGCGTTTCGTAGTACTAGTTTTAATAATAAGATATAAAATATCGGGTATATTTGTATTATCGTTAGTAGCGAAAGTTCGTAGTTAACTTTTAAAATAATTTTCTTAACCTTAAATAGTCTAAGTTTCTTAAAATCTAATTTATTACTTAGTTATTTTATTTTAATATTTCGTTATACGAGGTAGACTATATCTCCCTCTTAAAAGATTAGTCCCTATAATCTTTTCCGATTATAGTAAGTAGATATTCGTTCTTTAACGAATTAAAGTTCTTATTATATTTCTTTATATAATTTTCGTAGCTAATCTACTTATAGTATCGCTCGTTCCGCTTATAGTCCTTATTAAGTAACCTTAAATACTTCTAGGTTATATCTATAATTAGCGTATACTAGTAAGAGCTTAGTTATTTCTATAACTAAGCTATTATAAGCTAGTTACGCTATTAGTAGCTATTTAACTTAATCGTTTTATTTATAGCTAATATAGTATCGTAAATATTATTTAAGCGTTTAGTTAAGTCGTTCTATTTATCTATCTATTTATAGGTAATAAGCTATACTAAGCTTATATTTCGTCCTTAATTATACTATAAGAGCTTACTAAAACTTAGCTATAAATATACTTCCTCTATTAAAGATAATCTTATTTAGTAGTCTATAATTACTAATAATTATTCGTAGGAATATATATACTAGCTCTTCTATATTACTTATTTCTTTATATAGTAAAAAGTATCTATACTTCGTTAGTCTATTAGTAATAACGAATATACTATCGTACTTAACGTTAGTTATAGGTTCTTTTAATAGTAGTAGCTTTATAATATAGTCGAAAGCTATTAAATCCTATAGTTTCTCTAGTACTAGTAGCGGTTATAATTCTCTATATAGCTTATATCGTTTAGCTTTACTTCGTATATAAAGTTCGTATTCTTTAATAACTTATTATACTACTTTCTTAAGCTATAAGAAGTTATATTATCGTTTAATCCGTTCTATTATCCTTTAGATTCCTTAGTATCTATATATTAGATATTTATATATATCTTATATAACTTTATCTTAAAATACTAGTAGTATCTAGATTTTATTTTTATATATTAGAACTTCTAAATACTTTATATTATATCCGTTTAGTACTTTATATTCTTTTATCTATTTTAGGATCTTTTAGTATATTAAGTTATTAGGTTATACTTTAAATATTATATTTAGCTATTATTGCTAGTAGTTCCCGTTTTCGTTGATTTCTAGGAGCTGTCCTTTTACTATAGGTGCCCCTATATCGTAGTCGCTTTATCGACTAAGGGCATTAGCTCGACCGTTTTCTATTCCTTTTCTATAGATTATCTTATAGTCGAATTCTAATAAGTATTCGGCCTATCGGATCTATTATCTATTTAACTATTACGTTATTATAAAATATAAGATATTCTTATAGTCTATATAGACCTTAACTTTATATTTACTTCCGAGAAGGTAGTATTAAAATTCCTTAAAAGCTTAAATAATTATAAGGAATTCTTTATTATAGATAGGGTAATTAAGTTCTATGCTATATAGCTTCTTTAAGTAAAATATAATTAATCGTAGTCTTCCTTTATTATCTTTTTATCCGATTTATACTCCTAGAGTAAAGTCTAATATATCGGTTTTAAGTTCGATTTATTATTCTAGGTTAAAGGTAGTTAGGACTAGTTCTTACGTAATCGTAGTCTTAATATAATCGAAAGCTTCGTTAGCTTTATTATCCTATATAAATTCTTTTTCCTTCTTTATTAAGTTATATAGTAGTACTATAATCTTTCTAAAATCTTTAATAAATCGTTAGTAGTAATTTATAAATCCTAGGAAACTTTATACGTCCTTAACGTTTTTTAGCGTTAGCTATTCTTTAACTAAGTTAATCTTATCTTATTATATTTATATCTCCCTTAGTAAGATCGTATATCTAAGGAAGTCTACTTCCTATATATAGAACTTACTTTTCTTTAGTTTAACTAGTAACTTTATATTCTAAAGTACGCGGAGTACCTTATAGACGTATTCCTTATATTCTTTTAGGGTATCTAAGAGGATTAGGATATTATCTAGGTATACTATTATAAAGATATCTAAGTATTCGCGTAGGATATTATTAATTATTTATTAGAAGGTAGCTAGTATATTTATAAGTTTAAATAGTATTACTAGATATTTAAATAGTCCGAATTTCGTTTTAAAGGCTATTATCTATTTATATCCCTTTTTTATATATATTCAGTTATAGGCGCCTTTAAGGTCGAGGGCTATAAACTATTTTTTACTATATAGTCGATCTTATAGTTCCGATATAAGCGGTAATAGTATTCGGTCCTTTATTATAATATCGTTTAAGCGTTTATAGTCGATAATTAGTCGTAGTTTACTGTTTTTCTTTAAAATAAATATAACTAGGTAGCTTACTTCGGATATTAATATTCGTATATATCCCTTTTATAGATTCTCGTCGAGGTAGTCGCGTAGCGTTTATAGTTGCTTTTCGTTTAAGTTATAGATCTTATAGAACGTCGGCGTTATTCTATCCTTAAGATAAATTTCGTAGTCCTATTAGCTATATTTAAGTAACCCTATCTTAAGTTCTTCCT